TAACAAATTCAGGTTCTACACTTGTAAACTGGCAAAAATATAGATCTATAAAACAATCCAAGGTCTCATCAGAATCCGTCCTGTCACTAATAGATGGATAACCAGATACTTAAACTTTTGTTTTTCTTATCTTTTCAGAATAGACACCTCCGATGTAGTAATAAATGGCAACAAGCTGACAGCGAATATGACTGTCAATAACTACAATATCCCATATGCTACCAAAACAAGTCCCGAGCAAGTGATTGGCGGCGTGGTGGGCTTCCAGGTGAAGGTGGTTACAGCCTTGACAGACGGACAGTCATGCAACATGACTATGTACAATAACTTAGTGTTCGTACAATTTGTCAAGCGACGACAGAATGACGAACTCAACTACGTGCTGAAGCTCACCGTCCCAGAACTAGACATAGAGGACAAACGTTTCACCAGTGACGACGGCATCTGGCACTTGATCAATGAAAATAAACGCCAGAATTACACGTTTAACGTAACTGTACAGTTGGAGGTAGTACCGCGCGTTAATTCGTTCGCGAGCTTGCATGACGACGAGGAGTTGACAGACTTTGAGCTGCGCGGGACGGATGGGTCAGTACACATGCACCGCGCCGTGCTGGCTGCTGCCAGTCCTGTGCTACGACGTATGCTGGGTGGCGTCTGGCGTGAGACCGAGGAGGGCTGCGCCGAAATGCCCGGCACCACGCGCGTAACACTGCAGGACCTTAAAAACTACTTATACCTGCGCACGCTACCCGACACAGGCGTGGAGGAGCTGTTGCTGCTCTCGTCTTGCTATATGATGCCAGAATTGGAGAAGCGGTGCGTGGACAAGCTCGTGCAAAACATAACCCCGGAGAAGACCCTCGAAATGATCGAGTTCGCGGCTAAAAACAAGATGACACAGCTGATGCTGGCGGTACTGGATTGCGTGCAGTCCAGCATTGTCCGCGTCGCCGACATGCGGAATCATCTCCAGCAGCCCGAGTGAACCAGCATTGCTGCCAAGCGGTGCTTTACGTTTGGACAAAAACTACAAACAACGTAGGTACAGTGAACAAGTAAAAATTAAAATAAGTTGATGTAAAAATATGAAGGTCCTAATTATGTGCTAGATGGCACAAATGTGATATTGTGTTATCAAGTTTGTATCATAGTCTGTTTTTTAATCGAGAATTTGTTCAAAGCATATCAATGGCGGACAAGTTGTGAACGTTATTTTATTGTTGCCATAACGCAGTTTTATCATTATTACCTACACAAATAATTCGGGGGGTACGCGTGAAATTACAAGACTACGAAATAAAACACAATATAACTAATATACACAATAGACCAAAAATTAAATTATTATAAGATGCTAATGGACCTGAGCATTCACTTGAAACAGGACATGGAGCATTCGCCATTTTTAAATTTATCGAACTGAACTAAGAGCCGAGCATAGAGCCACACGTTGCAACGAACATTCTAGCGAATGCTCTAGTCAATGTCAGCCTTGATGAAATTTTAATGTCAATCACTAGAACGCTCGATCAAACGCTTTCCAGAACTCAGTTTGCTGTCATGATTTTGTGCAAGTTTGCTAACATGTTTATTTTAACAAATCTATAGTTATGAAATCAATGTACAATATACAATTCTACAAATATTGTAATTGCAGACTAAGGCCCCTGAATACTCGCTAGAATGCTCGCTAAAGCGCTGTCATAATTTTTCTGTAATATTGCAAGGATGCTCATTACAAGCGAATGCTTCAGTTTATCAGCAGTCGGCAACTTTAAGGTCCATTATCCAGAGGCGGATCAAAACTAGATAGCGCCCTAGGCAAGCACCTTATAGGCGCCCCTAACTTTGGCGACACCGCCACTGTGGGCAGTTGGGCACCCACGTGTCGCGGCGCCCCTTCATAACCTGGCGCCCTAGGCATTTGCCTAGTTTATCTTTTTATAATACGGCTCTGGATAATGGCAGCAATGACTTACTAAAATTTATTTTTTGACTTTATTTTTGAATACTAGTAGTCAATTTAAGCCATTTTCTTTACAGATATAATATCTAAATACTATCAGTACGTTTTACTTTGACATTAGCATCGTTATTGTAGGTATGAACTATTTCTGTTTTGCTCAACATTGACTTAGTAGGTAGGTATATTATTTTCAGTCAGCTCGCGCTGTAAAGGATTGTAGGTACTTTTATTGTGATGTTATGTTAAGATATTATTATAAAATTCCTATAATATGTGACATTAAGACTGGTTTTGTTAATTGACTGACATTATTTTCCAATGTGATAATTGTTTTTTTAAATTTAAGTATTGTTGTAATAAAGTAAATCAGTAAGTACCTAAGTCAATCATATTTTGTTTTTTATTGCAAACTATCCTGCACACGACTGCGTAGTCGTCCGAGTGTACGCTAGTGCTGGGCAAGGGTCTCGGGTTCGATTCCCGGGTCGGGCAAAGTATAATTGTTTTTATTTAATTTCTCACCAGTTTGCGTGATGTTATATGTATTCTGTAGACAAGTTTCTGGTAATAGTTTCTTTTATTTATTTGTCTTATACTATTACACATATAAAGCTGATGATTTGTTTGTTTGTTAGAAAGCGCTAATCTGGGGAACTACTGGTCCTATTTGAATAGTTCTTTCTGTATTGTATAGTCCATTTGTCGAGGAAGGCTATAATAGTCTATAAAACATCACGCTACAGTCAATAGGAGCTGAGCAAAGCGAGTGGAAGCCCGCAGAATTAGCTAGTCTTTTATGAACTAATTAGGTACCTACTTGGCGTCAGGGATGAAGTATCCTTTGAAATCTAATTGACGTGCAAAAGGTTAAAAGTGGTTCATTTCCCAAGGTAATTTCTATCCTATCCATCAATTAGCAGTCACGGAGAACCTAACGGGTTAGCGGGGCTCGGGCTCCGGCTCGCCGTGCAGGAGAAGGAACGGGGTGGTTTTTAGTCAGTAAGAGTCTGACACCCCCTCCCGCCTCACCCAGGCGGGAGCAGTAATTCGATGAATTTCCCCACTTAAAAAAAATCCATCAATTAGCAAATGTTATATTCAGGAGGAGCGTGACATCTCACGCCCCAGCCGTCGCGGGAATCACTCCGGGCGTCGGAGATTGCGCGACTATCTCCGGCCACTGTAAGTGCGGGTTTGTGGATGGCGAACTATGCCGCGCCGCGTTCCACGCGCGCCTCAAAGAGCCATCAGACCACCACGGATGGGGCCCAATAGGGCTGATTACATTTAAGACGCCCACTTCTCATGCATGAGGGTGCGGGTTTGAAACCTACCAACGGCAAGTACCAATGTGACTTTTTCCGAGTTATATGTACTTTCTAAGATTATTTAGACACCACTGACAAACGGTGAAGAAAAAACATCGTGAGGAAACCTGGACTTATAATTTCTAATTATAAGTTTGAAATCACCAACCCGCATTGAGCAAGCGTGGTGATTAACGCTCTAAACCTTCTCCGTGTGAGAAGAGGTTTTGCTCAGCAGTGGGCATTTATAGGCTGTTGATGATGAGGGCTGATGCCGATACGGACAACTTAACGGGTTACCGGGGCTCCGGCTCGAAGAGCAGGAGTAGGAACAGGGTGGTTTTTAGTCAGTAAAAGTCTTCCTCTCACCTAACCTAAAGCGGGAGAAGTCGTTGGATGGTTGCCCCTTTTCAAAAAAGGAGGGGTCAGATGTGTCTGACCCCTCCTTTTGATGAGCTTATGATGAGCAGGGGTTGTAAAGAATTCGTAATTTTTTGACATCTAGATTTTGAGATATGAGAAGTATTTCACGCAGATTAGGATTAGATCAGTCTAGAGATATTGTGAAACAAGTGAATTAATTTCTGCAAATAGGCTACACGGCAGCACTTTTACACGTCAAGTTTATCAAGCGAACGATGGGGTCGACATTTCCTAACTGACTACTCTGAGAAAATTGCCGAAACTGACTCAGAGGGCCGTCTCTTTTAGAGTCCATTAATAAAATATTGTCAAAATTATGTCTGAGATAGGCCGATAGATAACTCAAGGGATAACGAAAACAGGACATCTACTCATTAGAAAAAAATAAATAAAACGAAGTTACACAGATAATATATTTTATTCAACAAAAAAAAAAAACAAAAATAACACTTACGTGGAAGAATACTCAATACTATAACACTTGCATGGCTTCAAAATATAATTCATAGCGTTACAATTACATAGTAAAATTATTATAATATATTATTTCCTATTTATATAAAATGGAATGACTATATGAGCAGTGAGTATACATGGTCAATATGCTTAAAATATTGTCTTTATATCAACAAATGCGAGTAAATTAAGGCAAGTAGATTAACTAAAAGTCGCGGGTTACTCACAAATACTGAGAAAAGCTGTACTACCGGACCGCCCACGCTACTCACAAGGAAGAACCTCTCTGTGGTTCGAAACTAGTAGAGCTTTTCTCAGTATATTCGTGTGTAATCAGCGATTTTTATTTAATGTAGTATGCTTCACGATAGTTATTATAAAAACAAATGGTAGTAGAAGTAATTCACAGTTATTGTAATTAGGTACATGCCTTCACCAAAAATCAATTATTTCGATTGTTCAATACAATATAATATTTAAAAAATCTTTCACTTTCATTAATTGATTTAATAACCAACTTAATTTTAGTATTTGTCCAACAAATTTTTAAGAAATAAGCATGTTGTTTGATACTAAAAAAACGTGACGTCACAATTCACAATCTCGTAAAATTCATAGGTGGAAAACTGTCGTTTTTGACAGTTCGAAAAAAGTATTGAATTTGACTAGTTAGCAAGTACCCAATTATTATCTTATATACTATTATATATAGCTGAAAAGTTTGTTTGTTTGATCGCGCTAATCTTTGAAAGAAAGGTCCGATTTGAATAATTCTTTTTGTGTTGGTTAGTCCATTTATCGAGGAAGGCTGGGTGAGGCGGGAGGGAGTGTCAGACTCTTACTGACTAAAAACCACCCCGTTCCTTCTCCTGCACGTCGAGCCGGAGCCCTGGTTACCCGTTAGGTTCTCCGCGACAGTCTTAGTGCGGTTAGGGCCTAAACTTAGATAAATCCAGAGATTTTGGATTACATACATACATAACTTCACGCCTGTCACCTAGGGGGTAAGCAGGGACTATGGAACGCCAATTTTAGATTACAATCGGTTATTGTACGCCATAATACAGTCGAGAGTGTCAGACAAAACCCCTCACATTATAAGATGGAAATTATAATAACAGAGCAAAAAGTACCCCATCTATTCAGACAATAAAGTTGATATTAGCAAAGCATTACATTTAAAAGTACTATTACTAGGTTCGTGGTGAGACAATGGAACTCAAGTCCTTTAGACAAAAGTATCTCTTCTGTTAAGGCAATAAGGTTTCATTTTCCAATTTTCTAAGTCCTTGGTATGACTATAGCACTAATTTGCAGTGCAGGCGGGGCGCCATCTAGTGGTTGTCTGCAGAGTTGTGCGTGTTGCCAGGCGACATCGCCTTCCCCGCCAGTGAGTTCCACGCGAAGTATTAACGACCGACACGTGCGGTCCAGTGTGACGCCGCGCTCTGTAATCAAGTATGTTGCATTTAAAAATAACCAATATTAATAAGGGGGCGTCCATAAATTACGTGAGGTGTTTTTTTAATTGTCTGTCCCTCCCTCCCCCCTTGGTGAGATTTCGTTAGATTTTATCTCCCTTCTTCCTTCCCTCTCCTTTTCTCTCCCTCCCCCATACCCCAATCTCACGTGAGATTTTTCAAAATGTTGGTTTTGTTGTTGGTTGGTTAATCGCGTTGGATTGTCATTGCAAAAAGCAAAAAATCCATGTGCATGTACAATTAAATCTTAAGCATGTACAATCTGTATTAAATGAACTATGAAGTCGGTAAAAATAGTTTTTTTTTTGTTTTTATCAGAAAAAAAATTACGTGATCAAAAGTCAAGTCAAGTCAAGGTTATTAGTTTTACTATATCAGCGTTAGCTAGGTGCAACAAGCACCCAATACTAGTTTTTAGTAATCGTAAGATATAGTAGCGATTATTTCACATGTGGCCAATTAGTTTCGAGTGACACTGGAGTAGCAAATCATATCAAAACTTTTGTCAATCACATAATATTTATTTATTTATTTATTTAAAATGCTTCATGCACAAAATGTACAAAAAGGTGGACTTAATGCCGCAGGCATTTTCTACCAGTCTGACCTTTGGGTGATGCAGAGAAGAGTAAATGGTAGGTGCAAGAGGCAAGCAGTGATTTTATTTAACAATGAAAGATAAACTAATATATTTCGGAGATATACATACATAAATAAATTTAATTATAATGTATACTTGCTTACTAGTACACAGTGGATAGTTAGCGCGATGATTCAGCCAACCTCTTTAGGAAAAGCTCACGTACTTTCTGCTTAAAAGTTAGTCGAGTTGAGACCATCCTGACATCCAGGGGGAGCGCATTCCACAGAAAAATTGCCTGTACGAAAAAGGATGAATGTAAGAAGTCAGTGCGATGAGTGGGACATTGGAGAAGACGGTTGTGAGAAGAACGAAGATTTTTACTGTGGTTTGCGCATAAGTATTGAAAGTAAGGGGATAGATAACTGGGTGAAGAAGGTGAAGAAAGAAAGGAGAATAGAGTGGTTAGCGCCCTTTGCTCCCTGCGCTGGCGTATGGGCAGCCACTTTAGTTGCAACCGATGTGCAGAAACATGATCGTATTTACGCAGGTTGAAAACGAATCGGATGCAGTTATTTAGAAGTCGGTCGAGCTTATTGAGGAGATCTGCATTCAGGTCGTAGTAGCAGACATCAGCATAATCGATGATAGGGAAAACCAAGGCTTGCACCAACATGGCCTTCGTAGCGGGAGGAAGCAAATTTTTTACGCGATACAGAGCACGCAATGATCCAGTAACCCCCCTGCATACATTTGTGATTTGAGCATGCCACTTTAAATTGCAGTCAATATGCAAACCCAGATTTTTGACGTCAGTACCAAACGGGATTACTGCACCATCAAAGAGCACGGCTGGTAATGATGCTCGGTCTATTCCACCCAGCGTACGGGAGCTACCTATTATAATAGCCTGGCATTTGCCGGGATTAACTGATATACCGAATCTCTCGGACAAATATGTAATATGTCAACTTCTCTATTGTATTAAATGAAATTATCGTGTATACCATTAACTAAAGTACTGGCGCCACTTGACTACAGTAATTTATTTTGTAATACCACGGCCTCACAGAAAACAGACGTGAAGCAACGCTGGCGTGGTGTTTCGTCGTGTGAGTGAGGTTACCGGAGGTCCAATTGGAAGATACTTACGTATATCGTCATTATCGAAGTCGGCAGGTACAGGCGGCAAGTCGTCGTACTGCAGCGTCCACGTGAGTGTCCCGGTGGAGTACAGCTGCGTGGCCACGCGCGCGCGCAGCCGCGACAGGAGCAGCCCCGGGCCCGCGCACACGCGCCACGACACGTGCCCCACTGCCTCGCCCTCTGCGGCAAACAAAAGACATAAACAACGTTCCTACTCCTGCACTATCGAAGACAGTACCAGAGCCCCGGCAACCCGTTAAGCACTCCTCGGTTTCGTTTCGCATCAGCCCTATTGGGCTCTTTGAAGCGTGCGCGGAACGCTCGGGTCTGATTCAGGTCGGACGGCGAGCCACCCATACTCGCCGTCCGCAGGCCCGTGTCAGGCTCATGAATATGAGTCTCGGCGTGTGGCGCGTCGCATACCGCGCGCCGAAAACATAATAGTTAACACGTTTACCGCCACTTAGGTCACCGGCAGTCAAAGGCTTCATTTAGTATGTCTCACGAAACTTTTAATATAAACAATAATACAATATGTTTTGCTTTATCACATGATAATCAAAATTATGATTATTTTTTTTCAAGATCATATTTTTCCGTATACATACTTGTGTATATCGTGAATATGGAACAACATTTTGTGGATCAGACATACATACAGACAGACAAACAGACATACAGGCTAGCTTTATAACTAAGTCAAAAGAAATGTTTATTCAATTTCTACTCTCGGATCACAATAAAACACTAAGGGGCCGTCCATAAATTACGTCACACGTTAAGGGGTAGGGAGGGGGTCGACGAAGTGTGAAATTGTGTGACAAGGGGGAGGGATCCTAAACTTTGTGATGTCACATTTCAAAAACTACTATAAAACACGAAATATACTTGTATTAATGTTTTTTATTTTGTTTGATTTAGTATTAATTTTTTTTAAAGTAATTTAAATAGAAATAAAACGGTTTTCGGAACCGCTGTTTTCATTCAATAATTTTTATACATACGTAATTCTGCAAAATGTGACGTCATACTGGGGGGGTGGGTAGGGAGGGGGACGACGAAGTGTAACATTATGTGACAAGGGGGAGGGAAAGATCCCAAACTTTGTGATATCATATTTCAAAGACTTATAAAACACGAAATACGATTGTATTAATGTTTTTTACTTTATTTGATTTGATATCAATATTTTTAAATAGAAATAAATCTGATTTCGGAACGGCTGTTTTCATTCAATAATTTTTATACATACGTAATTCTGACGTCACACTAGGGGGGGGGGGTTCACAAATGTGACTAGCTGTGACAAGGACGGGGGAGGGGTACATCATGAAATTCGTGTGACGTAATTTATGGATGACCCCTAATACAAACTTGTGTTTTTGAGAAAAACTAACTTTGATGTCTAAATCATACCTTCTCTAGCCAGATAAACTTTCTTCCAGTCGTGTTCAACTTTCCTGAAGATATTCTTATGGTCGTAGACCCCCGCAGCCCAGCTGGGCAGGGTCCGTAGCTCGTCCCCGTCGCGCAGCACGCGGTAGCAGTCGGTGGCGGCGTGGTAGTGCAGGGCGCAGAGCCCGGGGTCAGTGAACTCGAAGCTGTGTCCGGGGGACTGCGGCCCGAGCTCGCCGCGGTCACTGCGCCACTGCTTCGACCCTGATATTCTTCCGTGGGATTCATAGTCTGTTGGTTTTCTGTGAAAAAAGTTTTGGTGTGTGAGATTTTGAGGTTAATTTGTTTCGTTGAATTTGACTGTCTGTCAAATTACATAACATCACGGCTTTCTATCTCCGAAGGGGTAAGCAGGTAACACTCACTTTTCACTATGTATGTCCCTGTAACAAGGGGTGAGCCTACTGCTGAGATTTTTTTTAAACCCAGTTATACTTTGCTCGACCCGGGAATCAAACCGGAGACGTCCTGCCCGGCAGTCGCTATTGCGACCACTCCGCCTACGAGACAGTCAATTTAAAAGCTAGAATATTCAAATACTATATTTCCATGTTAACCCTAAGGGTCAGTTTTGTAACGTCCAGCAGAAACGTGGTGTCGAGACGTGTCTTTCAGTTCGTGGTAATATTTTATCAACAAAGCCTTTAGTGTATAATAAGGGGCCGTTCAAATATTATGTAAGCAGATTTTTTACAATTATTTACCCCCCCGTCCCCCGTCCCCCTTGTCAGCAAAAGTAAGCAAAGATCTTACCCCCTCCCCCTTTGCTTACTTAAACATTTTTAATTATATCTTTTTTTTTACTATATTCTTGTAATTTTAATATTCTCTTAGATACCATAACGTCTAGTTCCATGTCAGTCTTTGCTTGTAATTTATAATTTCGATATGAGGGTTGCGATTCGTGTAAAAAAGTAAATAACTACCGCTGACGTAATCATAATCTAGACGCCCCTACCCCCATATCATCCAAAATAAGAGACCCCCCCCCCGCCATGGTAGTTACGTAATACTTGAACGGCCACTTAATTCGTCGAGTACCGTCATTATAGACACAATTAAAGAACAATAGGTTGCGGTCACCGGTGACCGCTTGGTGTTTGACAGTTTAATGAGAAGTTTGGGACATGTTAAAAAGCCAATTTATTTATTCCTTAAATGTTTTAAGATTGTTTAGTACTAAGTGAGACTTACTTCTCCACCATAAGCGTGACAAGTTCCTGCAGCGTCCGTTTAGCAAGATGTCTCCTCCGCGGCTCCGACACTTGTCTCTGTCGGTGTTCCCGCAGGGTCAGTATACACGACAACAATTCCTGCTCCGAGCACTCCTTGCGACGGGATAACACCTGAGGATAAATGCTGATATTAAAAGCGGATTATACCTCCAGAGCGCCTAGGCAAGCACCTTAATTTTTTTGGCGCCGCCGACACTCTATGAGCTGTTGGGCACGCGCGTCTCATAGCGCCTCCCTAATAAGTGACCTGTGCCTTTATCCAAACCCCACTTTAGCGCTTGTCTACAGAGAGAGTAGAAATAAAAATGTATGGGGATGACAATGACAAGTGTCAAAATTTACGTCAATTCCATATAATTTGGTTTTCTATTCTACATGTAGACAAGCGGTAAATGGCATTTGGCTACAGGTGGTGGTGCCCTAGGCACTAGTTTACTTTAGGGACAATACAGCTCTGGCTGATATTTTGAAATGTCCATCGTTCAAAAGTGCCTTTCTGGTCTAATTGAAATAAATGATTTTAACTTTGACTTAGATATCTAACTAGAAAACAACAATATAATAATATTTTCCAAAATCGTTTTGATATTTTATTACAGCACAGGAGCTAAACGTGCAGACGGATCACTTGATGGTAAACAATAGACGCCACAATAGACACCCACAGTTTTGTGCATTATTTTCTATGTTATCATAAAACAAGCTGATAAGAGATTTGGGATGGATTACTGGGTTTTTAATTTCGTTCTCCAACCCGCTTGGGATATGTAGAGATAATGACAAAAATCTCTTTTAGTAGGCGACCATAATCCAGAAGTCCTCTTATGATATTACTGATGATGAAACTTACAGCCTGCCTCGTTGGCCGAGTGGTCGCAAGTACGACTGCCGGGCAAGGGGTCTTAGGTTGGATTCCCGGGTCGGGCAAATTATTACTGGGTTTTTTAAAAATCTCAGTAGTAGCACGGAGTCTGGAATTGTGCCGAGTATATGGCAATAGGCTCACCCCCTAATACTTGGGACTCATAACATAAATATGTGAAAAGTGGGTGTTACATTGTACAGTGGCATAATGTGCACCTCGGCCTACCCCTTCGGGGATAAAAGGTGTGATGTTATTTATTTATTTATTTAACAACTTTGGAACACTAACAGCTAACAAAACAAAAATTAAGAAATTGTGTGAGGGTCTGACAGCCAATGACAAGTCTTCACATATAAAAAACAAACTAATACTATAAAAGAATGTGGTCGACACAGTACTCCCTACAAAATTATTATAATAATAAAAACAAACAAAATCTAAACAAAAGTTATGTTATGTTATGAAACTTACAGCTTTATGGTCGTTGGTGTACCTCCAGGTAACGTCTTGTACATCGTCCCTGGATACTGCTATGACGTAACATAGTTTCTTGCCCCACCCGTGCGAGTACAGGAGGGGCGCGTTCAGTTTGGCCTCGCAAGGGTCCGCGTGTAGCCATGTGTTGGAGTCGTAGTCGAATATCTGGAGACATAATTATTTATTGTTGATGGTTAATTAATAATAATAGGATTTGTCAAGTTATCACCAGCGCAACTGCTGATGCTGAGGAAGGAAATTCAAATCCTGGATCAGATAAATGGCTTTGTTTTTATAATATCGTGAGACACACTATATTAACTAAAAATCGCTGGTTACTCACGTGGAAATATTGAGAAAAGCTCTACTAGTTTCGAATCATAGATGGGTTTTTCCTCATGAGCAGCGTGCGCCATCATGGCGATGTCGCGCAGCCTACCCTAGTAGAGCTTTTTTCAGTATTTTCACGTGAGTAACCCGCGATTTTTATTTAAAAATGGCTTTTTCGGTTTACCCATTTAGAAATTACAATGCCACCAGTGGAGTGGACACACGTCACACACAACAGTGAAACTTAAAACTAATCTCTGTAAAACTATAATTGGATACTAAAAACAGTTCTTAACACTCATAACATAAGGCTAAAATTACCTCGCACCAAACAGAGTTACTCCATAAGTCATAAAATTCGTATTGAACATAGAAAAACAGTTCTATAAATATACATCATACATAAAGCTCACTTCACACCAGTGGCGTGCAGTCCATATAGGCAAAAAGGCTTTGCCTACCTTACAAATACCGTGAATAACACTACGTAATAAAAGATATAAACATTTTAATTTTACTACAGAATACTAAAATAATAATTATAATAAAATTAGTGAACGCCTAAAATAAATAGTATAGCAACAATGATGGCGCGCGATACGTGTTGCATTTCGCCAGGCGTACCGTATATAGCTGTAAACATTAACGCGCGAGGCAGGCACGCGGTTCCGTCGCCTGCAAACCATTCATAAATTTAAGCGTGTAGTGGTGAACGTCATTGTGTGCGTAGTGCACAGACGCGTTTATTTTATCGTCGCGAAGCTTGCCTGCAGGCACGGCCTGACGACTCGTGATTGAGTTCGCCGCGTGCCGACCAATCACGTTCCGTGTCTTGGTTTACTCATTGGTCGCCTCGCAGCGAACTTCACGCCGCTCGCGCGTGACAATTTTTTTGTTTTTGTTTACGTGCGATGCGTGGATTTTCGGATAATTTTGTTATTTGATTTAGAATACGATTAGTAATTCTACGCAAATAATTTGTAGTAAACGGTATAAAATTGTCTATTTATATAAGTACATTTTATTACTGTGTTTGTTTATTTGTTAATTGATTTTGCAAAGTTATACGAAGAACTGTGAAGTTTGTATTGACAAAAGTTGGTAAAGAATTATAAACTATCGCAGACCATCGCTTAGTGATTAGATTGTGTGTGAGTTTTTCTTCTGATAGTCTTGTCTTGGTAAGTTCTATGAAAGTTACTTTATTTTAATGTGATTAGGTTATGTAACATAAGTAGGTACCTACGCGGAGCTTCCCGTCGCGGCAACTCAGTCAGTAAAAATAACGAAGCTTTAAGTAATATGTTATGTACTAATTATAAAATGAAATGAAGAAGAATAAGCTAGGTAAATGAATGTTTAATAATACTAAAAAATGTACTACCGCTTACTCGGCTCGGCCGCAGCCGGCCGCGCTCGGTTCGATTTTTCTATTAGTCATACCCAAGTTCTTAAAATCATAATATCTCTTGAATAGATGAACCAAACTTATTAATTCGAAGAATTAAATTAAAA